GGGAGGCGAGAGCAGGGGTCCAGCAGTCAGGGCGGGGGGAGGGGGCAAGGGCCCTGCCCCTGGACTGACCCTGAGCTGGCCAGAAGACGGAGGTGGCCCTGGGGACGAGGACGGGAGACAGGCCCTGTGCCCCCATCCTTGGGACCGTCACAGAAAAACCCCAGCCAAGGCCACGGAGCCTTGGGGGTGGCCTCGGGCCACTGACAGGAACCGGGCGAGGCCTCCCAGCATTCACTGGAGGAGCCCCGGAAGCAAGGGTTGGCGACCCCTCGGCACAGCCACCGCCGTCCCAGGCAAGGGACCCCTCTCTGAGCAAGGGTCTCAGAGGCGCTGAGTGACCCTGAGACCAGCGCCCCAACCCCATTTCGCAGAGCTGCACGTGGGGGATGGGATAGCCAGCCCTGCCCCCCCGGGAGAAGAACCAGAACCTCCTCTCACATGCAGTGCCGGGGGCTCGTGACCGATGCGGGGTCTCATCGAAGCTCCACGAGGAGTGGCGAGACAGCACAACCCTGCACACACAAACCCTGGATTGAGCCCCGGCACCCCATAGGGTTCCCCGAGTCCCCCTCCCCCCACCAAGTGATCCCTGAGAACAGAGCCAGGAGTGACCCCTGACTCATCGGATGTGGCCTGAAAAAGCAAAGGTTCTGGAAGGGGATGGAGTCAGCCTATGGGCGCCCAGGCTGCCCTGGCATCTGGCTCTGCCTCGCCTGGTGTGTCGTGGGGGTGGGCAAGCATGAGGCACCCCAGGGGCTGATGGTGGGCCGCACCTAATCAGTTGCGGCCCGGCTGCCAACCCCAACAGGGAGAGAGGCCTTCCTCATGTGGGGCTTCGCCTCTGCTCCCCGGGGCTCAGCCGGGAGTCCTTGGTCACTGGAGACAGACACAGGTCCACGTCCCTACGGCCCTTCCCCAGTGCCCCAATCCTGAGCTCGGCTGCCGGCTGCAGGGGACACAGTGCTCCCTGAGCACAGTGGGGGCCGTGCCCATCTTCCTGGGAGATCAGCACCCCGTCCACCTCCTGGCAGGATCCAGCGGATGCAGCGGTCACGGCCTGCAGTCCCTGAGCAGAGCGGAGAGGGCCACTGCCCCCAGCCAGGGTCCGACCCAGCCTCTCCCAGTCCCACCAGGCTCCTCCCCAGGGACACAGCAGGCGCCCGGCCCTGCACTGTCCCCACCCCTGCCCGTCCCCTGGCCTGTCCCTCTTATGCTGTCCCCAGCAGCTCCTCCTGGAGACCGTCCAGGCCACAGCACTCCCAGGCCGGCCCGGGGACAGCGCGGAGGCCCACCCAGTGAGGCCTGGCCATGCTGGAGATCAGGCCCCCGCAGCGACACTTATTCCTGATGGACGCTGGGCCCGGCCATCCCAGCAGCAGCGGGTGCAACCCATGTCTCCCCGACATTATCTCTTTTTTTTCCCTTTGTGTACACATTTAGTTTTATTGTAACAAAGCAACTTGTATACTTTTTATTATATTTTCTTTGCAACTTGTATAGTTTGAAACTGAGCATCTTTCCTTTCCAAAGAAACAAAAAGAAATTTAAAAATAAAACAGGAACAAAATTACAATAGAGAATGTCAACTCCAAATAAGATCCTACAGGTTCTGCTGACTCTCCCATTGAGTGGCAGGGCTCAAGTCACCATTAGGAGAGAATTTTATTTTAAAAGTATCTCTTAGTTAAGTAGAAATCATCTGCCTCACAGGCATTGGGAGGGGTGGAGGGGGTATATTGGGGTTCTTGGTGGTGAAAAACAAGTAAGGGTGAAGGGAAAGGTGTTTGATCATTGTATGAACGAGACTTAAACCTGAAAGCTTTGTAACTCTTCCCACTGTGATTCAATAAATAAAAAAATAAATAAATAAAAATAGAATAAAAGTATCTCTTAGTTAGAATATGCAGCGTGGGGAAACGGCGCATGCAGGGCTCGCAGGCTGGCGGGACACTGAGCAGCCTCGATCAGGGCTTGAAAAAGAGGGAAACCAATGGTTACGGGCGGGGGTGGCGCCTGGGCATCCTGCCCCCGCCATGGCAAGGCTGGCACAGCTGGGGGTCCAGGTCATCAGCCGGGCGCCCACCGCCGCCCCTCGCCGTAAGCAGCCCCCGCTGCAGCCCTGCGGTGGCGTTGGGGACCTGAGCTCTGCTCAGGGGAGGGGGCAGAGAGGGGCCCCCAGACCGAGCCAGGCCCAGGGAGGGGCTTGGGCTCCTCAGGTGGGCGGCAGGGCAAGGTGAGCTCCTTGAGGCAAAGGAGCTTAGGAAGTCAGGGGCTGCCACTCCAGGCCCCTGAGGTCCCCACTGATGGGGCCCCTGAGTAGTGCGGTGGAGGCAGCCCCCTCTGAAGCCCTCAGGCCCAGACACTCAGGAAGAGTCCAGAGGGCACCCCCCCCACCCCCCCACCCCCCCGCATGTCTAGAAATGTGGTGTTGGGGCTGGGGCTGCCAAGACTCCCCCTGGGGCCAGGAAGCCCACCAGGGGGCCTGCAGGAAAGGCAGGGGGAGATGGTGATGGCGAACACGCACCCTTGGCCCTCCAGAAGCGAAGGAACATGACATTCGTGCTGCAAACAAGCGTCGGGGCGGGAGAGACACAGGAGCGCCCCCCTGAGCCGCCCAGGCCAGGAGTAAGTCCCAAGCAGTGCTGGGGTACCCTCCCCCAAGAAAACTCTAGCAAAAGCAAAGGCCGCAGGGCCCGATCCAAGAAGGGGTTCCTTCGACCTACAGAGTATTTTTTTTTAATGATTTTTATTTTTTATTTATTTTTTGCTTTTTAGGTCACACCCAGTGATGCTCAGGGGTTCCTCCTGGCTCATGCACTCAGGAGTTACTCCTGGCGGTGCTCAGGGGACCATATGGGGTGCTGGGAATTGAACCCGGGTTGGCCGCGTGCAAGGCAAACGCTCTACCCGCTGTGCCATTGCTCCAGCCCCCCACAGAGTATTTTGTTCCATGTGGAGTTTGTTGCCAATAATCTAACCTCAGGGGAGGGGCAGGGCTGGGCTGGGCTTGCCGAGCACTGCCAGGGGAGTCCCCGGCTCCTGCATCTCTGGGAAGAAGCTCCTGCGGCCAGGCCCGGGACAGCCCGGGACAGCCCGGGGCCCTGGGACCATCCAATGGCCACGACATTGGTGGGCGGCCCTCACAGCCACGCCCTGTGCCCCTCCCTCCTTGGGCCCAGGCTGGGGGGCGCCAGTCCCTCATGTCACAGCAGCTGGGGGAGGGGTACCCCCGTGTGTCCCTGGCCGGGAGCGCCTCATGCCTGCTCCGACGCGTTGGTCACTCCAAGGCTGCAGGTCATCCCTCGGATAGCAGCCCCCAGAGGCCAGGCCCAGCTGCAGGAGGGAGGCGGGGAAGGGGTCCCTGTGGGCCCGGGGTGGCCCCTCCCGTCTCGCTGCCCCCATCTGTTGGGGCCCAGCTGCGTCTTCAGACCCGTTTCCTGTGGGAACCCAGAGATCCCCGGGGACTGCAACCTGGTTCACAAGTTGGAGATGCCTCACCGTCAAGGGCTTTGGGGGACGACCGAAGCCCCTTCGAAAATCTGAGGATTAGGGCAGGAAAATGCCCGGATGCCACACAGAACCCCACCTCCTGGGGTAGAGGCTCCGGATGCTGGGCTGTGACCTCAGGTAACCCTGCGAGCCTGCAGGGGGAAGCGCAGCTCCCTGCAACCTGCGTGCGCAGCTCGCCCCCCAGTGGCCAGTTTGGGAACTGCTCAGGCGCCGGGCTGGACCACGCGGCCTGGCCACAGTCCAGAGATTTCCCAAGCCTGGAGCCAAGCGTCCACCAGGAGGGGTGGTGGGTGCGCACGTGAAGCCCCCTCCCCCCATCTCCTCTGCACCCCGGGGCAGGGAGTTAGCCCCTCGGGGAACGGAGGTGCAGAGAGGCCCCTCCTGGCCACGTGTCCACCTAGGAGCTGTGACGGGCCCTGGCCAAAGGGCTACTGCAACTGGAGTTGGGAGTCCACATTCTGAAACATTCTAGAAGGTTCTAGGGTAAGCATAGTCACTCACAGAGACAGGAATCCAGCCTCTACGCTGCAGGCCGCTTTCCTCTGAACAAAGGTTCCAAGTGGTGCCTGGAGGCGGCCGTGCCCAGTTCCGGGGGGGAAGGGCAGCGGCTGTCTCCGATAGCCAGCCTGGAAAGCAGCTTCCAGTCCCCCCGCCAGCCCCTGCAGCCAGCTCCTGCCCCGTGGGGATGCACCCAGTGAGTGGCGTTGAAGATCTGCAGGTTGGACGCCTGGGCTGGAGAGGCTTCACAGGAGTCTCCTGCAAGCACAGCGGGGCCAGTGGACCTATGGACACTGGATGGGGGCGTCCCCACCCCCCACCCGTACCCAGGGGCATGAATCTCGGCCACCCCGAGAGCAGATCGTGGGTAGGCACGGGGGTCGCCCAGGCCTTGGTGCGCGACAGCCCGAGACCCCTCCCCAACTGCTCAGAGCAGACTCACCCTCGGATCATGGGGGCGGCCGGGATCTGGGGGACAACCACGGAGGAAACCCATCACTGTGACCCTACGGCCCCGCCCAAGGCCCGGGCAGCAGCTTCACATCCATGATCGCCACACGGGAGAACACCACCCATGTCCTTCTGCACTGGACAGCGAGAGTGGTTACACTGACAGAACTTTCTGGAAGAGGAGAGCTGCAGATAAGGAGATTGCTCTGGAGCCTGGCCTGCGGCGGGCGGTGCCCACGCACTCTGTGAATCCTGGGCCGACAGTGGTCAGCTCCACCCATCAGACGAACAGCACACACGCACACAAACACACACGCACATATACATGTGCACGCACATGCATGCACACGTGCACACACATATGCACACATGGGGGTCCCCGAGGCCGCACCCAACACACGCATGCACGCACACATGTGCACACACCCACGCGCGTGTGCGCACACACACACACACACACACACACACACACACACACAAACACACACACGGTGGCCAAGCCCAGGTCACTTTTTTAAAAGGTTTATTACTTCAGCTGTGATTCTGAGACTGTAAAATTCACTTCTCTTCCAGTAGAAAAAGACCAGGATGGAGGCTGTGGGGCCCCGGCACCTCTCGGGGGGCTGTCGCGGAGGGGGCGTCCGGAGTCTCTGTCACCCGAGGGGCTCAGTGCTGTCAGTCGGGGCGGGGGAGATGCGTGTGCAGCTCAGAGCCACCGCGTGATACGGCTCTCCCTGTGTGGCCGGCACCCTGTCCGGCCATTGGTTCCTGGCGGTGGTGGAGGGGGCCTGCCCCAGCCCTCAGCCCCTGCAGTGTGCTTGGAGAGATGTGGATGTGGAGAGAAGGTTCCAGAACAGCCTCGAGGCGGGGCCTCTTCCAGAGCCTTCTGTCCCTGAGTGTTCGTGCCTGAGCTCACGCGCGCTGGGCGGGACAGCGTGGCGTGGGATCAGACCGAGGGGCTGATGGACCGCCGGCTGGCCGAGTCCTGGAGGAGCGGCGTGTGGGGGCCGGGGTCCCCGGTGGATGAGGGCGCCAGGCTGGACTGGCTCTCGGCTTCTTCGGGTCCCTGTGGGGAAAGGAAGCTCTGGGTGACCCCGCCACGCCCGGCTGTGTCCCCACACCGCAGCCTCCCCACACAGCCCCTGCAGGCCCCCTCAGCACCTGCGGGTGGAAAAGGCTGGTGCAGCCCTCACAGCCCCCCACCCCAGACAGGGACACAAAGGGCCCAGGACTTGGCCCAGCTGGCGCCCCAGACGCCGTGACCGCCGCCCCAGATGCCCCAGCTCGGCTACTGAAGGGCTGGGATTCGCGGATGGTTCGGGCACGAGTGTCTTGGCGAGATGCGCCGCAACCAGAAGGGCAGGCCGGACACCGAGTGGCTTTAGACGGCCAGAAACATGAGGACAACACGCCACCCACCCCCAACCTCCCAAGCTGGACGTGGGCATCATCGCGGGCAACCGGCGCAACTGTCCCTCCCGGCCCAGACTGAGGGGCTGCGGCACCCGGGGCTGAAGGGTCGGGCGAGAAGGCTGGGGGCAGCAGGCACATGGACAGCGCACCCCTGGAAGGACAGTCTGTCCCCGGCGGATGGTCAGTCGGGGGGTGCCTCCACGGTACCCCAGGCCCGTGTCCGACGTTGAGACGCTGTCCCCACCCGGGGCCTCCCAGTCCTGCCCGAGACGCCCACCCCCCCGCGGGAGCAGGGCTGAGTCTGAGCTCGCGACCCCTTGACTGTTCCAATCTCAGCATCTCAGGAGCAAACCCACAGTTGGGCCACGGGCAGACCCGCTGGGGGACGGTCGGACCCCGCTTGGCGGGTGACCGGTCCATCCGCAGCTTGGATCAAGGACTCGCGGCCACTGGGCCCGACCCACACGGCGCCAGCCCAAAAACCGCGTTCATTTTCGCATGGGCCTGTCCGTAGCCTGCAGCGGCTCCAGACAGATGGCCGGCCCCGAGCCCGCCGAGACCCCCCTTTTCTGGCTGGTCAGCGCTCAAACAGGGACGACGTTTCAGCCAGCCTCCGAACCGTCCACGCGAGCCGGCGCCTCTGCTCCAGGGGGCAGCAAGAGCCAGGCCGGAGGCCGCCGCTGCCCCGTGTCCGGGGTCTGGCCGGGTGGGGTGGGGGGTTACCTGGTACCCACCTACAGCCTGGCCTCCTGCAGCACCGTGCCCTTGGGAGCGGACGTCATCAGGGACTCTGAATAGGCCTGAAGGGCCTCCTTATCCTTTGGGCCCTTTTTACTACTACTCCAAAAGAGATAGCATTTCTCCTAGAAGACAACCGAGCTCATTGACAGTCACATCGTGGCCAGACATGCGAGGCTCGAATGCGGCCCTGGGCTTCCGGAAGCAGAGAAGGCGGACAGGAGAATTGCCCAGAGAGAGGGAGAGACAGGGCCATGCTCGGCCAGAACGGGCCCGTCACCGACAGACAGCCCGAAGGAAGCGCGCTCGCAAGAAGGTGGCACTTCAGATGGACCGGAAACAGATTTTCCCACGAGGACTCTTGACTTTGTTTAAAGGACTGACAAGAAGCGTTTCCCTGAAGAGTGATGGAAGATGTGGGTCCCCAGAATGTGGTTTTTCTTACCCCAGGACGGATGTGTAAGCCGCACCCAGCTCACTGCAACCAGAACGGCTAACGGCCGTTTCTGTGACTCGGCCAAGCAACCCTCAGGACCCGTGTCAACCTCCCGACCCCGTGGAACCCGCAGGGTCACCCCAATTGGTCGGCCCTATGCAGCCGCAGGGAGGGGCCCCATATTCTTCCCAACAGAAATGAAATGAGTCTGCCGGCTTGGGTGGGGGCAGGGACCCTTGCCCCCTGCTGACCCCTTCTGATAGCAAGTTAGTACACAGAAGGGGGATGAGCCCGACCTTGGCCCCATCCCTCCCCCTGGTCCCGGGCCCCCAGGTGGCCCCAAGGGTTCCCTCCGGCCCACCCGCACGTGTTCCTGAGGGGGGGGGGTCCAAATGCACCCTTGCCCTGTGCAGTCCTGGGGAGGGTGACAGGACAGGACAGGTCAAGACAGACAGGGCCCGGGAAGGCGTCACCAGCGCAAGAGGAGAGAAGAGGAGGAAGCAAGACAGAGGCGTCCCGGCCCTGCCACCACGGAGAGGGGCCCCCGGTCCCCGCCAGGCCATCCGGGCCTCCCCCCAGAGGCCAACGGCCCGCCCTGAAAGCCACTGCAGGGAATGGCTCGACTGACCCGCACCATGGGCGGGAGGGAGTGGACGGGTGAGTGGACCCACGGACCAGGGGGCAGGTGGGCGAGGGGGCGGACAGGTGAGTGGGTGGACGGGCGAGGGGGTGGATGAGCCGATGAGTGGATGAGCAGGTGGACGAGCGGGTGGGTGGCCCCCATGGGGACCCCCAAGGACTCTGCCTTCAGAGGAAGGCTACGGGGGACCTGGGCCTCAGATGGAACCCTGGGCACCTCCCTCCTCCCCGCTGGACGCAGCCACGGGCTCCTTTAGGCCTCCGGCCCCTCCCCTGTGCTCTGTACTCCATGCCCTGGGGCCCCCGCAGAGAAGGGCTGAGGCCCAGCATCTGCCTTGTGGGAGGGGGGTCTTCCTCGAAGCCACCCCTGGACAGGTCCCCGGGCGGGACTCCGGCTCATAGCTCAGTGCTCACTCGCACACGGCTGGATCCGGCTCACAGCTCAGTGCTCACTTACACACGGCCGGCATGCTGGAGAACACCGGGCGCCCAGCAGCAGCACAGACCCTCCCCCGACCCCAGATCTTCGGTTGACTCGTCCCCCTGCCGGGCCCGGGGCGCGAGAGAACAGGAGAGGACGAGGGACAGTGAGAGGCCCGGCCCGCAGACAGCAGCAGGGGCTGGGCCGGGGCTCCTACCTGGCTCCGGAGCAGGAAGGCGACGGGCCCGAGCAGCAGGACGCAGCCCAGGCCAAGCAGGACGAACTGGGCGTAGTGCAACACCTTGGGCATCAGCACCAGCTGCCGGTAGAAGGTCCGTAGGGGGGCGCCCTCCATGGCCCCGCTCTGGGGAGGACACAGGACTGGGCAGGCGCTCGCGTCCCCACACCCGCCAGGCCGGGCCAGCCGTGACCTCGGCCACCAGCGGCTTCTCCAGCCGCCCCTCCCGGGACCCCGCTGGCCAGCGCCCCCCTCCGCGGACCCCGCCCCCGCGCGCCCAGGGGGGTCGGGACTCACCTCGCCAAACCACAGCAGCGGCAACACCACGGGCTTGATCTTCCCCGTTTGCCTGGAGCGAGACACGCAGTCGCCACTGAGGGGCGCCAAGGGCCCCCGCCGCCCGGACTGCCGGTCTCCTGAGCACTACCAGGTGTGCCCCTAAACAACGACCCTCTTCTGCCTTGGGACCGAGCTGGGTGGAATCAGATCCCCAGGGCAGCCGGACGGCAAGTGCGGCTGGGCGCTGCACGCTCCCCGTCTCTGCTGTCGAGACGAACAGTGGCTGAGGCGCTATGGGATGAACAGCCGAAGGCTGGTCCCCGAGAAAGGAGCTGGCCGGAAAGGAGAGGCAATGGCCGGAGCCCCAGCAGCCCTCGGGACCAGAAGGGACCCCGAGGCTGGACACTGTGTCAGGGAATGGAACAGGAGGACCGGGGTGTGTCTCCGAGGAACTGCGGCCCAGGGCCTCACACACACGGCCATCCCCGGCCCTTTGACAGGTTCCTTAGAGGTTGGGGCCATGTGGACACTACAGCAAGGAGGGCACTGGCTCTGACACGGCCCACGGGGTTCCGTCTCCAGCACCCCACATGGTCCCTGAGTCCACTAGGAGTGACTCCCGGGTGCAGAGCCAGGGGTGAGCCCTGAGCCCAGTCCGGGTGCAGCCGCCCACCAGGAAGGAGTGTCTGGGTGGGGTCCCTTCAGTTCCCGGGCTGAACGGGAAAGCGTCTGGGTGGAAGGTTCTGGTGAGCTCGGGGGCATACATGAAGACGGGGATCGGGGGCAGAGAGTGGGGGTGTCGGTCGGGGAAACGGGGCCTCCCCGTGCCCGGCCTGGGCCCCACGTACCCGATGCCTTCCACCTTCTTGATGAACAGACTCAGCTGCAGCTTCACCGAGCAGTTCATGGGGATGCCCGTGACCTGCAGACGGGCGGTTGAGCTGGGCGCACGGACACGCCCTGTCCCCCACTGCCCCCCCCCACGTGATGCAGATGCCCTCGGGCCACGTGGGCAGCTCCCCCCACCCTGGGGTGTCAGACACTGTGGGGGTGAGGCAGCGCCTTGGAGTCCAGCAGGGAGCCTCACTGCAGAGCCTTGCACCCACACCAGGCCCACCCTGGACCCATCCTGGGTCCCCAGTGCCGTAGACAGCGCCCGCTGATGCACGGCAGGGCTGTCTCCTTCCACCTGTCCTCAGGTGGGGACAGCACATCCCTCCCCGTAACGGCCCCCCCCTTCTCCCCACTGGTGGCCTCGCTCGGGGTCTCAGGAGCAGGAAGGGACCCCCGAGCATCCCCACGCTATCCACAGCAGAAACTCTTCCTCCCATTGGGGCGGCCGCGGGAAGGGCCAAGCCGTGGGTGCCCCTGGGACTCCGCCGGGAGCGGCAGGAGAGTGGGCAGGGGCGGCGGGAGACCCCTGGTTCAGCTCAGAGACAGGCCGGAGCGTGGGAGCCAGGGGCGAGGCCGCAAGGGGACGGCCACGTGGCAGCCTGGATCCTCCCGTTCCTCCCACTGATCACGTCCCCGGGACAAATTCCCCAGGGCCCGGCCGTGGGTGCTGCTGGTCCTGGGTGTGTCTGAGGGTGTCAGGCATGGCTGGGAGGTGCCTCCGCTAATTTGCAGACTGATAATTCCTAATTAATTTACTGTCTTATGGTTCTTGTGCAGACAATCTCCTCGTAAAGATTGTGAAGCCCTTGACCTATGGAATCAGGGTGCAGAGGGAAGCCGGCGGCGACGGCCTGGAAGCATCCACTGTGTCATGGGGGGCTGGGGGGGCGTCCAACTCACCGGGTGGATGTCCAGGAACAAGGAATGTTCCTTGGCATTCGGGTGCAAGCCCTGCACGGCGTCCACCAGCACGGGGTCCGCGTTGTAGAAATGGGGGTGGGAGAGGAACAAGGGGGCATCTGTAGGCAGAGGCCAGAGGACGTCCAACTCAGCGTGGCCAGCACCCTGGGACCAGTGCAGGGTCAGGGCCAGCAGTACCCAGGAGGGGCCGTGCGGGAGCTCCCAGGCAGAGGCCAGACCAGGAGCGGGCGCCGGTGCCGGGTGAGCGGGAGGGATGTGAGAGCAGAAGGGTAAACTGAGGCAGGTTTGAACTGAGGGGGGGAGACAAGCCCCCTGGACCCTCTCGTGGCCGCCGTGGCCAGGCAAGAACCAGTGGAGCCTCCTGGGCTCGGGGCCGGCTGGGCAAAACCAGGCAGGGGCAGATGGGACAGCAGTGAGGGGACTGGCTACCGCCCGGAGAGATAAGAATGTTCTGGAAGCGGACGGTGGTGACGGCTGTCTGGCGTGGTGACTGAGCTGGATGCCGCTGACTCCTGAGCTCTGACCCGGCTCGCATGGGCTCCGGGGACTTGGCTGCCGGCAGCGGCCAGGTCAGAGAGAAGCACACGGGGAGCATCAGAGGCTGGAACCCGCCCTGCCACCCCTCGGGCCAGGAGACGCGGAAGCAGAACCCCGAGGTCCCCCAGCCTGGCCCGGCCAGGCCCGACACTCGGGCGGCCCCGTGGAACCGGGCAGCTTACACCCGTGTGTTCCCTTTTATTCCTCAGCAGACACACCTGCCGCTGATAAGCACTAATTAATTTATGCCTTTACAGCAGCCAGCGCTGGCATCTGTGAAGGTGCCCAGCGGGCAGGGCACAGGGATCCCCGCGGCCGCCAGGAGGGGAACACCCACCAGGCTCGGCTTATCTCTGGGCGCCTGCCCGGGCAGAGATGGTGCAGACGGCGCAAAGGACTAGGGCAAGCGGCAGAGGCCACTGGCCCTGAGGTGGGGGAGCGGCCGGGGAGGGGGAGGGGCAGGCGGTGTGTGGAGAGGGAGGGAGGGGTGCGTGGGGGGTAGCCGGCCTGACCACCCCACAGCCATGAAGGAGGCACCCGCTGACCAGGGCCCCTTTCTCCGCCCCCACGTCCCTCCAGCCCGCAGTGTGGCCGCAGCAGACAGCCCAGGCCCGAGGGGCAGCTCCGGGTCCTCGAGTGTGCCCTCAGTGGGGGCTCGGCGGGCGGGGAAGAGCGTGCCCTGGACGCATGGCCAGCCCCTCCCGCCCTCCCAGCTCCTGGCCCGGCACTCACTGAACCGGCAGGCGCTCACGTTCTGGATGCCCGACTCCCGGCAGGGGCAGAAGCCCTCATTGGGCGGGTATACCGACCCATTGGCAAACAGGGTCTTGGGGGCCACAAAGCGGTAGGTGGGGATGCCCTCGAACATCCCCGGCTCCTTGAAGATGAGCTTCATGGACCTGTGGGGACACGCACGGGGTGGGCTGGTGGCACACGGGGAGCCCCGCAAAAAACACACAGACACGTGCGCACATGCCTGCACACGCGTGCTCGCACCGGGCCCCTCCTGGGGCTCTCCCCGCTCGGCCTGAAGGGCCCGGTGACCACTGTCCAGTTAATCTGAACCAGGACCTGCATGCCCCAGAGCTACCTCCTCCCTGCACCCAGCTCCTCTGCTCCCTGCCGCTGGGCCTTTGCACCTGCAGAATTCCTGAGTGAATTCCTGAGTCCAGGCACCCCGTCCAGCCCGTCCTCACGCAGCCCCTGCTGCCCCCAGCGCCCCCGTGGTGCCTCTGGGCCTGGACGCGCGCGGCACGGCCCGCTGCCAGCCGGCACACCCAGACTGTGCCCACAGAAGACAAAACGGCTTGTCCTGCCGTGGCCCCTGGGCCGAGACTGGCAGCACCCACAGGCCAGCACTGACGGGAGCAACATGTCCTGGGCTTGGGGGTGGCGTGAGACACGGGCTTCCTGCCAGGGCAGAGACGGGGCGGGGAGGGAGCACCTCACCTCTCGTCTCTACGCTGGAATTTCTAGAGGTGCTTGATGGGTGAGGGCATGTCCGGGGGGCTGACCCTGGGCTGACTTCCGGGGAGCACAGGGTCCCCCGCACCAAGGGGGTGACGCCCAAGAACCGAGCTGGGTCACCCACGCCCCATACACAACCTCCCTCCAGGCATCCCCAGGTGGTGAGGGAGCCCCTCCTGTCCGGGGGTCCCAGCACCTCCCCAATTGGGGGTCCCCAAAGGTCTGGCTCTGTCTGCGAACTCCTAAGTCAAGGCTTTTCCCAAAAGGGCCCCAATGGAGCAGAGGGCAGGGCAGGCCCAGAGAAGGTTCTGGAACCCCCCGGTCTGCACTCGCCCCATCCTCTAGCCCCCCGCGGGCCTCCTCGGCCGCAGCTCTGCAGAGACTACAGGGGCCGCAGGGAGAGCAGTGCCCACACGGGCCCGGGCAGCGAGAGGCCCAGGGACCCTCGTGAGCGTGTTGGGGGGGCAGGGCAGGGAGGGGCAGTTACCGGCAGGCCTCGGGGCTGTAGAACTCCAGCGAGGACTCGGGGGTCATGAAGGGCGCCCACATCTGCCCGGAGGTGCCGTTGATCATGTTGCACTGGTCTGAGTGCCAGTAGTTGACCTGCGGGGGGATGTGGGGCTCAGGCTGGCCACACAGTCTAGGGGACCCTGGGGGCAGCGGCCTCTATCAACGCTGCTCTTGGCACAAGGCCCCAGGAAGCTGCCCCAGGCAGTGGGGAACGAGCAGGCTGTGTAGACTGGACAGTGGTGGGTCAGCAGTGGTATAGACAGGACAGTCGGGAGGGCCTCAAACAAGTACCTTTGCAGGGGACTCAGTTACCCCCCAATTGTTTTTTTTTCTTTTTGGGTCACACCTGGCAATGCACAGGGGTCACTCCTGGCTCAAGCACCCAGGACTCACTCCTGGCGGTGCTCAGGGGGCCATATGGGATGCTGGGAATCGAACCCGGGTCGGCCGCGTACAAGGCAAACGCCCTCCCCGCTGTGCTATCGCTCCAGCCCCTCGCTCCCCCTCCCCCAGTTGGGAGCAAGAGTTAGGACCGGGTGGGATCAGGGACACGGCTGCTGGGCTGGCCTCGGGGAGGGACTAGCCACCCCTCGGAGGTCCCTCACCTCCACGCAGACATTTGCTGACCAAACAGGGCAGAGCCGAGGGGGCAGCCAACAGGCACAAGGCCATGGTGGGCAGCGCGGGCGGCGGGCCCTGGCCAGACCCGGCGGACCTGCACCTGGGAGGTGGAGCAAGGGGCAGAGGGAAGAGGGACGTGCCCAGCCCCGGCCCTGCAGTGCCACAACAGCATCATCCCGGCCACGCCCGCCCCCTCAGCATCCCAGGGCATGAGCAGCAGCTGCATACGGGCGCCTGGGTCACCACAGGAGCCAACGTGGCCCCCAAGCGCGGCCACACGCACCTTGCTGAGCCCATTCCATTTGTCCACCAGGTGGATCCTGCTGAAGTCTCGGACCCCTGTGAACACCGTGAAGAGCCCCGAGTCCGAGTTGTTGAGCTGCAGACAGGAGAGGACCAGCCGTGAGCGCCCGGGCAGGGTCACGCACGCATGCACGCACACGCCGATACATGCACGCAAACACACGTGTGTACATACTGATACACACTGGCACAGCCCCTGCACACACCAATATGCTTACACATGCACTGATACACATACAGGTGTGCACGGCAACACAAACACCTACACGACAACACGTGTGTGCACACACTTGTACATATACACTAGCTTGTACACCTATGTACAGACGCTCGTGCACACACATCTGCGTGAATATAAGACATCCACACACACGTGCACGCTGGAACACGCATGTGCACACTAGCGTGAATGTGTGTGCGCACACTTACACATGCACATCTGCACACTCATACGCTCATGCGTGCACACAGCCAGCACGAGGGGAAGGGTGTCCACGCCTCCCTTGGCCGCGCCCACGGCCACAGCGCGTCCCTGTCCCCGAGCTGCATGCTTGGAGCAAAAATGAAGCTCCGGTGCTGGGTTTGGGCTCTGGCCACAAGCTCAGGGGCTGCTTGTCACCAGGTCGGGGCGTCCCCCAGCCGAGAGCTCAGTGGACGAGGAGGGCAAAGTGTTCCAGAGCGAGCCCAGCCCGGAGCCCGCCCTGAGCCGGGGCTGGTGACCGCGTGCTTCTGAGTGTGCTGAGCCCAGCCCCACCCGACAACAGCAGCTCCCAGGGACATGCAGGCGGGTCACAGCAAGAGCCCCCAATGCCTCCTCATCTGTTCATCCCGGTCACTGTTACCAGCAGGCACCGGTCCCAAAGGTCGCGTGAGTGACAGGCATGCGGTCCACTCACCCCTCCCTCAACGCTCGACCCCAAACCAGAGGGTGGCGAGAGCCGGGAGGCCCTGGAAGGGCTCAGCTCCTTGCCCGACCCTCCACCCCCTCCACTCCTTCCTTCCTGCTCTGCCATCTGGAGCGTGGACGTGGACGTGAGGGTTGGTGCTCCGGCAGCCACCCTGGACCCCGGGGCGACCCTGAAGAAGGAAGCCAGGCCCACACTTACCTCGGCAAACAGCCCGAACTTGCCCTTGAAGGGCAACATGCCCGGGAAGAACTTGTTCATGAGGTTCACCAGCGGGTCCTCGTAGCCCCACATGATGTCCCTGACCGTGCGGTTCATGAAGGCGCGCTCCTGCAGGGTGCTGAAGGCCAGGGTCATCATGAACTTCAGGCCGCCGGGCTTGTCCTCCATCATGGTCGCGGCGCCCTGCGGGGGAGGGGCGGCACTTGCAGCAAGGACCTCGGGCACCCTGCAGGGCCGTGCAGGGCGGGGGTCCCGGTCCCTGGCACCTGCTGGGGAAAATCTCCCCCCCCCTCCCCCCCCCCCCCCGTGGACCAGGCTGCGAGCCCCACCCCCAGGCTGTCCAGGCCAATCAGAAACCCGTCCCTCCAGTCGAGCCAATCAGGAGACCCCTCTCCCCCGACCTAGCCAATCAGAAGCCCTTTCCTTCTATCTGGCCAATCAGTAGTGCCCTCCCTCCCACCTGGCCAATCAGAAATTCCTACCTGGCCAATCAGGAACCCCCCCTCCAAGCTGGCCAATCAGCGGCCAGCTCCCTCTACAACAGTGACTGGCAGGTGGACACTCCCCAGTCCAGCCAACCTGGGGCCTGGAGCCGCACCCCAAGGCCCCCTCCCGGCTCTGCACTTAGAGACCTTGCCCGGCGGGGCTTGGGGCTCAAACCCTGGTTGGGGGGGGTCCCCCACTCTCGAGTGTCCCCGGGAAAACTGCAGGACCCCAGACCCAGGAGGTGACAAGGCTGCTGGGCCTCCCGCTGACTCGCAGCCAGAGCGGGGGCGGGTCCTCCCCACTGACATCTGGGCACGTGGCTGCGACCCTCCACACCCACGTCACGCTGGCTACTGGCAGATGCCCCGGACAGCGCCCATCCCCCCCTTGCCCCTGTCAGCACGTCGGTGACCCCGGGCCACACGACGCTGATGTGGTCTGGGGGAGCCACCCTTGGCCTGAGGGCCGAAGTGGAACATGGCCTGACCAGTGCCCCCCCTACAGGAAACCGTAGGCCGGGAGCCCCTCAGAAGGCGCCTCACCAGCACCAGGATGTTGGGCATGACGATGTAGTCGTCCTCCGAGCCATGGGAGCGTGTGGGCTGGAACTGGAAGCTGCGGTGCTCCACGAAGGACACCGTGTCATTGTCGTGGAAGGTGATGTTGGTCTTGTGCCGGAACTCCCTAGGGGCACCGTCAGGCAATGGCGGGAAGGGGGGGGCAGTTCATGGCCACCAGCCACCCCCACCCACACGGCCCTCTCTCTGCCAACCATCTCCACCCCGCCCTGGGTCTTGGGTGGGAGGGGGGCTGTTGGCTGTGCAGATCCAGGCCCGTTTTCTCCACTGGGGCCAGTTTGGGGTCCCGAGGCGCAGTGGATGCCGGAGGTACCCAGGGGCGGAGCCAGGGAAGGAGGTAAGGGGTGGCAGAGGTGGAGAGGCCCCACACGGAAGCCCGGGCCCCAGCACAGTGGCTGCGTTTCCACCGTGGGGGGACATTCTCGCCTGGGTCCTGTCCCCAGTGCCCCTGAGCACCGTGCCAGTCCGTCTGCTCTGCGCCATTACCTATGGGCGGGAGGGACGGGGCGTGGTGCTACGCAGGACTGTGTGTGCGTGTGCACTGCATGCACGTGTGTGTGCGTGCACGTGTGTGCTGAATGCATGTGTGTGTGTATGTGAGCATCCGTGTTGTGTGTGTGTGAGTGGGCGCCTAGCCCCGCGTGCTGAGTGCATGCTGTGTGTTGCAGGGGCCCCGTGAGGTGGGCTGGAGCCCCACAGCCTGCAGCACCCTTTCCACACCCCACAGTGCCTTGGTGAGAAGCGGTCTCCAGCCCCGCCCACCTCACGTGTGCAGCTTGTCCCCTTCGGCCCTCCCTTTGCCTGAGAGGCCTCTCAGCCACGGTGCTCGCCACCTCCCTGACAGGGCTGCCACACAGCTCCCTACCGCCCCACAGGCCGGACCCTTGCTCAGTCAGCACACGCAAAAGCTGTACACAGATGTGCACATATGTATATGCACATGCACTTGCATGTACACCCATATATACATGCCACAATAGCGAACACGTGTGCTCACACACATACACTCGCACATTTGCTCCCACATGCACATCATGTAGCCCCATACATATGGACATGCATGTGTGCACTCTTGTGAGCCTCATACACACGAAAACATGTGTACACATACTGTGCACATCTCTACATGTACACTTGCATGCATGCACACATGCGTATGCACTGCACACTTGCACACATGTGCCCACGTGCACACATGTGTACACATACATTCATGCACAAAGCGTATATGTATGCTCGTGCATGTAGACACAACATGCACACGTATGCGCATGGTACACATGCATATGTGTGAATGTGTGTGTGCACAACCACAGGCATGCTTGTGCACATATGTGGACACGTGTAGCGCTTCCATCACCCACAAATCTGCTTCCAGGCCCTACTAGTCCTGGCCTCAGGCCTTCAGTGAGCACCTGCCCCCCGGGGCGGGCGAGTGGGCCTCCCTCTGCTCTCCCTGCGGGCCCAGAGCTGCTGTGGGCCAGCTCACAGCAGCTGCCCAGTGAGCGTGGCTGCGTGGATGGACGGAGAGGGCTCAGTACCGCTGTCAGGCCACACGGTCCCTCCGTGTCCTCACCTGTACACGTAGGGGCCCCGCTCCCGCACTGACGGCTTCTGGCCCTCGAGGATCTCCTGGGGGTTGAGGACGTCAAAGAAGTAGACGGAGAGGTAGAAGGGGACAGGGATCTCCTTCCACATGTTGAACGACAGGCTGCTGGGGTCGATGCGCACGTTCTGCAGGGACAGGGCAGTGAGCGGGAGGGTCGCGCGGGAGTGGGGCGGGGGGTGTCTCCCCTGTGCCGGGGCTGGACACAGGTGTTTCATGAGGAGGAATTCATGGCTCCGAGGGTTTCCTGGAGCCCAGCGGGGAAGCCGAGCTCCACTGAGGCTGGAGAAACAAGCAGTGCTCAGGCTCTGCAGGCCTGGGAGGCTACCCGGGGGAGGAGGTCCGTGAGCTGAATCCACACCTGGCTGTGCCCATAGCCCCCAGAGGCCCCCAGCTGCGCACACTTCCCACACACTTCCCCGGGTCCCCGCAGTGGGAAACGGGGAGCCCCACTCTGGACTCGAGAGCTCTCGGTCCCCGTGTGACCCTCCTCGGGATCCTGGGCATGGCCAGACTGTGGGCTCGGCCCTGTCCAGGAACATGTGGTTCCACCAGGGGTCATGCCCGGACGGCAGCTCCACGGGCCCCTCTCACAGATGGGCGTGGGGGCGGGGGGCAGCCGGTGCAGTGGACCCTTTGGTCCCGACAGCCGGCGCCCCGAGCCAGCACACCCGCCAGGAGCTGCTTCCCACTGTAGCCTGCTCTTGCTGATGGGGAAACTGAGGCATGGGGCACAGAGCCAGGCCAGGGCAACACAGGACCCCATGTGCTGGGGCACAAAGTGCCCCTCGGCCCTCAGGGCCCAGCCCCTGCCTCCCCCTCTGCTTTCCGGGATGCCCACCCAACCCTAAGTGGGAGCCCAGCCCCCTTTGGCCGGGGTGGCCTGCCTGGGTCCGATGGGAAACTGAGGCCCGGTGAGCGTGAGGCTCTCCTGGCTGACGGCAGCTGAGTGACTGGCTAGTGGAGACCCACTATCCCGCCCCCACTGGCAGGGCTCGGACTTTGGTCTGCAGTGGTCACAACAGACCAGGGCGGCTGATTAGATAAACCCCTGGCCAGACTCCGGCCTTTCACCCAGCCCGGCTCACCCCAGGCCCTCCCCTGCCCCGGGGCTGAAGGTTACCGCCTGGGCAGGCAGGGTGGCAGGGTGAGGGGAGAACCCAGTGACCTGTGTTGGTCGCCACACCCTCGCAGCCACCCCGACATGCTCATCAAGCCCAGGGGGGCTGCCTGGAAGAGGAGGCATGAGCACTGGGCACTGAGCCCGTGAGCTGGGCTTCCCCAGAAGATGCAGGAGTGTCCAGACCGTGGCTTCAGGGTCCTCCCCTGTGGACTCAGCAGGACACTGTGCACACACCGGTATACCCCCACCACCTCAGCACACAGCCACCCAGCAGCACCCCACTCCAGACGCCACCACAGCAAGGGTGGGGGCCAGGGGCGACAGGGACTGCCCCAGCAGCGGCAACAGCTGTTTCCTGAACAGCCCGCTGGGCGAAGAGCATGCACCAACGCTGGCCGCCCTGTCAGAGCGCGGCAGGCAGGAAGCGCCGGGCTGAGGGGGATGGGGTCTAGCGAGGCCGGCATGGAGGCACAGACACGTGCCCGTGCGCAGCCTGGGGCCCCTAAACTAGGAGGGGGAGGAGGAGCGTCAGGGAGGGCCCCTGTGGGCAGAGGCGTGAGTCAGGCGGGGAACCGCAGACCTGCACGAGAGGGGCCAGAGGGCGGGGCCCAGTGACCGCGGCCACACCCCAGGGTCTCCCCAGATGGCATGGCCAGGCCCCAGCACCGCAGCTCCCCACACCAAGGGGCCAGATCAGGGCAGCGAGGGTGGGCGCAGGCCCAGGACGGGGCGCAGGCTGTGGGCATGCAGGGACCCCGACGGTCAGGATGGCCCTACTGGCCCGGACACCAAACCATCGGGTCCCACTGCTTGAGTGTGTGTGGGATGACCCCCCCCCCCCCGCCCCCAGATAAACAACATAAACCCCAGTGACCAGATAGACAAAACGTGCATTTCTTTATTTGCCAAACAGAATTGTGGCGTAAAAGCCAAGCTCTGCTACAGGCCCCGCCCCTAGCACTGGACACTCAGTCCCTCCAGCCAGTGGCCCCAGGACCTTGGCATGGCCCATGGCCCTTTGCCCCTCCCCTCGCCCCCCCCCCCCGGGAGCGGCCAGCCGCGTCTTCCACCCTACCTGTCCTCACTCAGATGCCCCTTCTCAGGCAGGGCCCCCCCTTCACGAGCCTGTCCTGAAGCTGCCCCCCCACGGGCACCCCATAGGGCCTGCGGACTCTCAGCAAATATTTACTGGGCAAACGTGGGCTTGAAACTAATGAAGTGCAGGCGGTACCAGTGGGGCAGTGGCGCGGCCGCTCTCCGCCGCGCTGTTTCAGGAGCTCTGCCGCAGGCCAGGCATCCCTGTACCCAGGGCAGGGCCCGTCCAGCCAGCTAGTCTGAGTGGAGCAGAGAACTGGGTAGCTGGACCACCCGAATTCAGCTGCTGGCTGCCGAGGGCCCTTCGGGATGGGCACAGAACGGGCTGCGGCTCCCACCCGCGACCTTGGCCAGGGGAGGGGCGCTGGCACAGAGGGTGGCTCTGGGCCCCGGAGGCCTGGGGACTGTCCACAGGGCACAGGAGTGGGCAGAACAGGAGCGAGAGCCGCCAACCCTGGGCCAGCAGGCAAAGGTGGGACCTCAGGCACCCAGGGAGCCCGTGCCCGTCCCGTGGGGACACGGCCGGGAGAGCCTGTGACAGGGCCTTCACCCCAACCCTCAAGCTGGGCCCCAGGGTCCCATCATGAGCCAAGCTGGCCGCCCACGCACCCCAATGCACTGTGACCACAGGTCGTGCGGGAACGGCCAGGACCCGCCCATCCCTCCCTGGACGCTGCGGGTGAGACAGCCCAGGACCCAGGAGGACACCCGCTGCTTGTCTGCGCTCTGCTTTCTCCTGACAGGGGCTGCAATGGTGCCCCCACACCGCCCAGGTGCACACGCCGGCCCCCAATTACCCATTAACTTAACCTGCCCGGAATTGCAAAACCGAATCCCGCCCCCAGCAATGACCGAAAGTGTCCCAGAGGAGGCACCTCTGTCCCCCCCATGCCCAGAGGTCACCCCCACCCCCTTCCCACCACTCCCTGCACACTGCCGGGGCCCCAGGCTCCGAGGAGGGCAGGAGGAACTGCAGGGATGGGTCTGGCCTGCCAAGGTGCCCACTCTGAGTCCAGAAGCATGAGCAATAAAACCAACACTCTCAGAGGGTCCCAGACAGGACAGGAGCAAGGCGGGTGAGTGTGAGAGCGTGGGAGACCCGCTTAGACCAAGCTCCTCGTCCTGTTTTTGGTTTTGTTGTTGCTCCTTTGGGGCCTGCATACTGGCGGTGCTCAGGGAGTACTCCTGGCGGGGCTCGGAGACCTCTGGGTGCCCGCCCAGCCCCAGCCCTCAGCAGACCCTGGCACCCCCCTCCTCCCCACCCTGCCCGCCCCAGAAAGGTCCCTGAGAGGCTGGGTCATACCCCGTCTGCTGGAGCCTCCCTCTGGGATTAAGGCCTGAATCCCCCCCCCCCACGCGAGTCCTGCAGTTCCTCACTGCCCCCCACGCGGGGGCCCCTGCCAGGGCTTCCTCACAGGAGCCCAAGCCAGAAGTCACACAACTGTCTACCAACAAGCCCAGGGCATGGACACAATCCGGAGGACACCAGGATGGCAATGCTCCTGTGTGCTGGAGGGTCACGGCAAGTCAGGGCGGGCGGGGACGGATACACGAACATATGTGTGCATGCATGTACACATGGACAAACGTGTCACATGTGCGTCTGCATGTGTACACTTGTGTAGTTCCTTGCATGCACAAACTGAGACATGTGTGCATCACGTGCAAATGCATGACGCACATACAAACAGACTTGTGTGAGGCGTGCAGTACGCCTGTGCGTGTGTGGCGCGTGGCCGCTTGCACCATCCCTGAATGATGCCCAGGACTGTGGCCGTCACTGGGAGACCACGAGAGCAAGGCCAGGAGGCGCAGACGCTGACGTAGTGTCCTGACGTTACTGAGCTGCTGGAACGATCTGGAAGCACCTGCCACCTGCGGTTCCCTGAAGTCTGATGCTGAAGGTCACACTTCTAAGAGCCCGTCCAGCAAAGCTCTCACGGAAACCTGACGATTAGTCTGCAGGGCAGGTTCCGTTCATCACGGTTCCATGGATGAGGCAACTGAGGCACAGTGAGCTCAGACCACTTAGAGCCTCCGCTCCAACCACTATACTCTCCTGCCTCTGCAAGTTCTCCCATGGGTGCAAACGCGTCAAGATCCCAGGCAAGGCCTCTGGGAGATCAAGAGAGGGACCGGGCACACTCACCTTCCAGTCCCTCAAGGTGCCATTATGATGGGACCCCAGGCGGTCACCGGCCTGTGATAGGTCCACCAGGCTGCCACCCAGCCCAGGGGGAGGAGAAGGAAGTGCTTCAGCTCACCCCAGGAGGAAAGCTGGTCTCTCTCAAGCCCCCGAGGCCTGAGGCTGCTTCGATTCCCCAGGAGCTAACGCTGGGGTCTGCATCTGTTTGAGGGCACCCCTCAAAACCCGGCCGGCAGGGCTGGATGACGTGGAGTGGGGTGCTCCCAGAGTCGGCACAGACACTCATCCACGAGGGCCCGGTTTCACGTTTTCGGGGCTTTTTCATTTGAGGAGGTGGGTTTGCTGGAGCCCTGCGCTCCGCCCAGTGCTCAGGAGCAGCTGGCGGTGCTGAGGGCCCTGGGGGGGCGGGGGGTTCCCAGGCGGGAAAGCAGGCTCAGCCGCACCAGGCCAGGCCTTACCCAGCCCTGTAAGCACTTTCAAAAAAAAAAAAAATCAAGGGGCTGGAGCTATAGCACAGCGGGGAGAGCATTTGCCTTGCACGCGGCCGACCCGGGTTCGATTCCCAGCATCCCATATGGTCCTCTGAGCACCGCCAGGAGTAATTCCTAAGTGCAGAGCCAGGAGTAACCCCTGTGCATAGCCAGGTGTGCCCCAAAAAGCAAAAAAAAAAAAAAAATCAAGAGGCCAACACACGCACACTCATAAACATAAACACACACTCAAACACACATATACATGCTTACATACACAAACATACTCGCACA